TTTTCAAAATCCAGAACTCCCTTTTCAAATGCCAGAACTCCCTTTTCAAATGCCAGAACTCCCTTTTCAAAATTGCCAGAACTCCCTTTTCAAATGCCAGAACTCTCTTTTCAAATGCCAGAACTCCCTTTTCAAATGCCACAACTCCCTTTTCAAATGCCACAACTCCCTTTTCAAATGGCAAAACTCCCTTTACAAATTCCAGAACTCCCTTTACAAATGGCAGAACTCCCTTTTCAAATGCCAGAACTCCCTTTTCAAATGCCAGAACTCCCTTTTCAAATCCAGAACTCCCTTTTCAAATGCCAGAACTCCCTTTTCAAATACCAGAACTCCCTTTTCAAATGCCAGAACTCCCTTTTTAAATGCCAGAACTCCCTTTTCAAATGCCAGAACTCTGTTTTTAAACGCCAGAACTCCGTTTTCAAATGCTAGAACTCCCTTTTCAAATGCCAGAACTCCCTTTTCAAATGCTAGAACTCTCTTTTCAAAATCCAGAACTCCCTTTTCAAATGCCACAACTCCCTTTTCAAATGCCAGAACTCCCTTTTCAAACGGCAAAACTACCTTTACAAATGCCAGAACTCGCTTTACAAATGCCAGAACTCAACTGTGAGCCAGCAAGGCAGCAATCACTGGATATGTGGGTTTCACTGACCACTAAAGCACCTTCATATTCCATGTAGACATCAGCGGCGATGAAGACAGTATCACAGATGCTTCACATAACTCACCACCTGGAAATACCTCTAGTAGAAGAAATTCAACTGATGGTGAGGATCACTTCATTGTTGTAGTCAAAGTGTTATTGAAAGAGGTTCAAGTTTGACTACCTAGCACTGGTTTAATACGCATTTAATTGGTTAATTAATCGGGTAGATAAACGCATCTGAAAAATAGTAGCAGTACTGGAAGTCAAATCTCTATTGAATCATATCCAGGGCTCAAAACAACGGCCGGTCAACGGACAATGACTGGCCAAAAATACCTCTTGACCGATCAGCGGCCACATTTTCATGCCTTCCAATGTGGTTGCTGACGTCTTGAATTAAAACATGAAACTATGATGTATCGAAACAAGTTTCGAATAGTTTGTTTCACTGTTAGTGTAAGCGTATTAATGACCGGTCAAAAACAGATTTTGACCGAGCTAAAATCAGTTTGACCGGGGACCTATCTCCCGTTATTTTGAGCCCTGGTCTGCATATCAATAAACTCTGCCTCGTGTTTTCTTTCAGCCTGTTGTCAAACATCGTTGACTTTCCCACCGTCCTTTGATCTGAGCAAAATTGTCGGTATGTCCACGTATACATTAATATTGGTTGGGATATTATTAAGACAGGGGCGGGTCTACCATGGGGGCACAAGAGGGGTGTGCACCCTCACCTAGTGGTGTCTAGCATCCCCCTAGAGAAGTCCAGCACCACCAGGGCTGGAAAAAAATTTATGTTATATACGAACCCTTACGTATTTTTCTTATGTATTTTTATCTACATGCATGATCTGCAGTAAAGTATGATTGTCACCAAAATTAGTAAAATACACTTCTTTCTTTAAGACTTTTTACCTTCCATTTTTTTTCTAACAACCTCAACCGCTATATTTTGCAGCCCTGAGCACCTACTACCTCCCAAAAATCTGCTCGACCATACATTTTCTGTTTATCGAATAGTGATTAGCGGAACTTCTACTGTTAGCGCGTGTCGATTTCTTGAAACGATTTCATTGATTTGTGAGCTCACGAGAAAGTACTGTACTCAGAATGCTTTAGTTATATATCATGGTTAAATATGTAAACACGTCGATGTTGTTATACAGCCATATTTTTAAATTTAAGCTAAGTGTCAGAATTGACAAGGCCCATTCTTTGTAATAACATAGTTTCAAATTTTTTTAGATTCTGGGTACTATTCTTACGTTGAGGAAGAAGATAACTCGAGAGATTTAAATGTTTCATCATTAAGACGGAAACTCTTCAGTCCTGATGGACTCAAATCTCCAGTGATGTCACGTGATCGCCAGCCACTACGCCCCCGTGTCACGAGGTATGCACGTGAAAAACGCACAAGTTGTAACAAACTTGCAGCAGACTTGTAGCAATGCTGTTCCAACAACTGCTTGTTCCCAGCTTGTTGACAACTTGCTACAAGGTTGTTGAGCTCAACAGAGCTTGCTACAAGTTGTTCCAAGAACTTGTTTGTTTTATTTTTCAGGTCTATTTTGAAAAGTCCAAGTCCTATGAATTTGGTAAGATGAATCAATAAATTGAATTTGCTTGAAAATACGTCTAAATGGAATACAACCCAGTGTTAGTAAAGGAGGAACTCAGAGAAAATCTGCGGTGTTTGGTAGAGTCAAACTGGAAGCACTCTTCTCACATGTGACTGAGGTGAAATTATAATGAGACAACTGCATATTGCAGGAATGAAACCTCAGTCACAGAGATGAAAGATGTCATGCATTGACTGCTGTGACAACAACGTCAGCTTCCTTCCTTTTTTAGCTTACATCAAGTCCAATGCACCACAGGAACGCGAAGGTCCACCCTGATTCCAGTTCCCCATTCTCAAACGGCGCCGACAGTGGCACATCACCAGCAGTCTCTCCTATCAAAGCACAGACTACAATACCCGAGAAAGATAGCCCGCATGGTACGTCATAAATTTTGTAAAATGTAATTAGCCGACCCCAAATTTTCCGTCGAAAAGAATTTTTGAAGTTGAAAATTTTCAACTTTTAACAATGATATTTTCGGAAACTTTTCTATCCGTGGAAAATTTTCTTGCGTGGAAATGAACCTTCAAGGAAATAGGAAATAAGGAATTCTCTATTTCTCTATCTAGGCATGTCGGGTCTAAAGCTTGATGGAACTTTATCAAATGACGATGTTTTCAACAGCGATATACTCGAATCATCTGATGTCAACATTGATCCACAATTGATACCCGACGTATCGCCTATCAAGCCATCTGACGTGAATGACAGACGAGATGATGATGATGGACCAATGAAAATGTCCGAACTAAGTCACGTGAGCATGGACTTTGACGAAGGAAATCTGAGTTTGGTCGAAATGGATATTGCCGAGCCTCTAACATCTACTCATCACTACACTAGAGATAACGATAGACTTGCAATCAATGAACTCAAAGAATCCACGAACTCATCACGTGATAAAATTCATGATGTCATTGGTGATGACGTCATTGCTGGTGATGACGACATACGTGATGACGTAATGACTTATGACGTCAGAAATGATGTCAGTCGTGATAGTACGACCAATGATTTCCTTGGAAATTATGGCAATCTCATATCAAGGAATAGTAATGACCTTATGTCTAAAAATACCAACGGATGTTCTACAGTGGATAGTTGGGAATATACCAACGGAGATATGGATGTAAACCAAGGTACGACTAGGGATAATCATGGTGATGAAGCATTGGTCCAGAGAGCCTGCGCGGCCATGAAGCGAGCCGATAGACTGGTACGGGAATCATGTATGGAGCAAGGTGTGGCTGTCAACAAGAAGGTTGGCACTAATACTGGATATTTAAACATCAGTCATGTGGACAAATCTCTGAGTCACGTTGACAATTATTTCAATCACGTGGGCAAAGACTCGAATCACGTGGACACATTGCATAATCACGTGGACAAAGCCTGGCATCACGTGAACAAAGCGTGGCATCCTATAGATATGTCCACGCCTCTTGTGAATGAAAAACCTAAGAACAGACCAGAGAACGCGGAAACGCGTGCACGCAGATCACTCCTCGATACAGATTCTTATAATAATCTCCTGAGCTCGTTTGCTAATTCGAAACTGGACCGGCGATCATATTTGGCGGACGAGGAAAATCTTGTTTTGAGTCAGGAGGGCACATCTGATGGCCGAGCACGGAGTCAGGGGATTGAAAATTTGTCTCACATAGGTAATTTGTTGTCATTTTTATGCATGACAATACGACAAATTGACTGTCGTGTTAACAGATATGTTGTATCTTTGTAGGGAACAGAGGTTCTAACAATTTAACTCCAGCTGTTTCTGCTCGGTATGGTTATAATTATCATGGTTCAATCGGCAAACGGTAAAATATCCTTGTTTATTTCAATGGGATTTTGGTGGCGGCTGCCAGCTTCTTTCACCTTTGCGATCATGGCTTCAACTCTCGCTGCGGTTTATGTGAAAGAAGTCGTGGGTTTTCTCCGGGTGCAGTGGTTTCCTCCCACAGGGAATGTTGACAGGATGGGTTGGGATAAGCCCGCTAACTGACTCTTTCCCCGTAGTGATCAGACATGAGTCATAGGCGGAAGTTTTCTTTGTCTTGTGATTTCTTGGGTGGAACTAGTTATAAAAGACAAAGAAAATTCCGCTCCGCGCGCAAAATGCCGCCTACCGGAAAACCGGCTTTAGAAAGCTTTCGACTCGATCAGGTTGACCCGTGTCCTTCGTAATAGCTCTCAGCTTAGCTCTCAGATGCAAGTAAGGATGATAAGCACATTGACACCCTCACTTCTCAAATTCATTAGCAATTCAGCCAATGATAATCACCTATTTGATCACAAGATGCCATTTGGATAACCCGGTGAAACTTGATGAAAGTCACTAGTGTTTTCATCAAATATCTTAATTACGCATGCAAAATTACTTGAATAGAATTCCTAATTACGTTATGCTTGGTTAAGAATTCTATTCAAATCAGCAAACGAAAACATTCTGTTACGTCTCGATTCATTTGAGAAGCCATATAAACAACTCGAGCTCGTGTCTCACCGAGATATCCAAACACTCGAAAACAATGTATGAAAACACTCGCGCTTCGCACTCGTGTTCTCATACATTGTTTTCTCGTGTTTGGATATCCCGGTGAACCACTCGCTCTCGTTGTTCTATCTTTTTTTCTGTGTTGATGTAATGTACTCAGGTGAATATGATGCTTGTGATGTTACTCTGAGTGCATATCCACACCGGGCAAGCTTGAAAAAGATATGCCTGGCCACGGTGGGAATTGAACCTACGACCTTTGGAATACTAGCCCAATGGCCAATGCTCTGCCAACTGAGCTACGCGGTCAGGTCGGTTCGAGTATGTGATATTTCGGAACTGAGTCTAGTTCCTTCGATATCAATGCAATCTAGTAATGATGATTTTTGCTAGTATTCCAAAGGTCGTAGGTTCGATTCCCACCGTGGCCAGCATATTTTTCAAGCTTGCCCGGTGTGGATATACACTCAGAGTATTTCACAAACATCATATTTCTATCTGTTGATAATTTTTATCTAGCTTTTCCTGGCCACCTTGGTACACGTCGAGAAGTCGCTATCGTTATTTAAGCGAGCGAAATGTTTCTCCTACGATTCCCTCCGGTCTGCGCCGAAGGTCAGCCGAAGACCGCCCGAGATTGCGGCGATCTACATCGGAAGATTTGAAAAAATACGCGAGACGTTCTCAGAGACAAAGGGAAGATTATTTGAATAATCACTTTCATCCTGACTTACGGCGACATTTTCGCATTTAGACCATGAACTATTTCATCAAGTTGGAAGCCACCTTGAATAGTCGTTGTCTACCAGGTGATCTTGATACGCGGAAAAGTACTGGCACTAGTTGTCAAATAGAAATCCATTTTATGATTAAAACAACTGAATATCTCCTGTAATATAC